CAAACCGCTTCTTCAGAGCCTCATTCAATCGTCGCTCAGGCGGGACTTCCAGCTCACCACTTTGTTCGCGATTCCAACGCATGACGAAGAAATCAGTCAGGTAATAAACCAGTTGGGATAGGGTCTTAGTCCAATGACCTGAGTTTGAAGGGTGGAAGAACGTCTCGACAGCTTGGATTAGACCTTCCAGCTGTGTGAGAACTGAAACCTCGGCATCTACACAAGCGGGTGAAAGCGACATCACAATCCACCGGGCAATATGATGAGCAACAGGGTGCTTCCGCCCATCTCGATCAAGCATGATACCCAAACCAGACGAAATATCCACCAAGGCACTGTACGGGGAAGTGGATTGCCCGACGGGGATCTCCAACAACCTCAATATCGCAGTGAAAAGGAGAGCGGACTGTTCCTTTGTGAAGATACCATGCTCGGAGAATGGAATGTGAGCAGCCGGCAGAGAATCTCTGGCCAATCGGGAAAGATAGTCCAGATATGTTGTGTCAAATGTTTTTGACCGACCGACCAATGACCACAGATGGAAATGTGTAGGCAGATAGCTCTGCGGTAGGAGATCGACTCGCGATTCGGGAGCCGGGGATGTCGGGAGCAACAAATTAATGAGCCCGGCGACAACGAAGGCACCTTCTGAGAATGATGTGGTATAATGAGGTAAGAACTCCTCAAGCATAGCGGGGAGCTCACACGGGTCAATGAATAATTGAGCAAATGCGCAAAGCTTGGTCAAGGTCTTAACATTGCGCTTCAAGTTGGTCGAGTGAACGAGGCCGGACTCGGTGGGGAGGACGAAAGCCTTGAGCTCCTTGTATAGAGGCTTCCAATCTAAGACGAGATCTTGGACTGGTTTGAGATAATGCTTGCGCCTAAATGATGTGTTAGCAGCCGCATTACTTTCGCAACTAACACTGAGAACCCATCTCACTTCGTGAGAAGCATGAACATGCTCGCAAACCGCTCAGCGACCGACGGGTCAATCCCAGGAGCAAGCGCAAGCTCAAAATACAATTTTACAAGGCTGATTCGCTGCGCCTTGGTTGGATCGAACTTGAGCGACAGCCATCCGCGTAGCTCGCGTGTCCAGTGCACGGCTCCGGGATTGAAGTCACCGGCCTCCACTGCAATATAGAGCTGGTTCAAAATCTCTCGCAGATTTTGATTCCGCTCACTCTCATCCTCGAGGTGGTATGGGAGGTATTTGAAGTATGGATAGGTACGGGGGCGCACGCGGGCTATCGGTTCGCCTTCGCTATTCACGGCGACGGGCTCACCACCGGGCGAGGTCGCCCGGGAGAGCTCTTGTGCATGATGGAAATTGTCGGATGTGAGAACCGCCTTGGGAACAGAGGCTTCCATCGTCGGATGGGGGATAGGGAAGGGAATGGTCGACACGAGGTGGGTATGGAGGTCAGGGAAGAGTTGCCGTTGCTGTCGGGTGAGCTCTAGAAGCAAGCAATACGTCAGCAACGTCGATATTTCACAAGGGTATCTTTTTTTCCGGCGCCCTATCAATAATAGAAGAAGTTTCGAAGGAAATCGTACTTTTAATGAAACTCTGAAGCTCCTACTCCGAAAAGCGCGGGATTTGGAACCGAATACTATTGTATTTCACACGGCTGTGTTCGCATGGGGTACTTTTTCTCTTGGCAAGCGAGGGGAAATATGACGGGCTCGTATTTCTTTTGGTAATTGAGCAGCTCAAGATTTCGGCCTCCGATTCTTCTCTTCTTCTTGAGATGCCTAAATGGTGAAGGTCAAGAGGTCAAACGGGAGAGAGTCGAGGTTGTGATGACATAATTATACGTAACGAAGCTTGGGCCCTGCAGAGTGAGCCGCGTGGAAAGATACACTAAAGATATAGTAGGACTTGTTTTTGATAGTTGTTTGAAAAGATGCGTGAGATTCGTTTCTTTCCCTTCTTCCTTTCCAATTTATAATAGTTCAGTTGGTGGGCGACTGCGGCTTCCACCCCTGTTTAGGCAGACAGGCACCTTACGCAAGCATTTTGCCCAACCAACACTCGGGAGGCGGCATTTGTGGTCATTCAAAGCAGTCTAGGCCGTGTTTTCTAACTTAAATCACATATCAATATATACAGCAGGTGACTCGGGCCAATATTGAGCCGGGTCATCCCTGCTGGTCATTCTTTTTCATGCCGGGGGTAGGAAAGAACCGAAAAGAACACCCTGGATCAACGCATAGGCCACCATGCTATACACAGCGGCTACAAGGGTCCGGCTTTGCTTGGGTGTGCTTGAACTGAGATCTACCGCACTGGTAACCAAATACCAATACCATAAGGGATACCCTGACGATATGCGGTTGATGATCTGGACATGGTAGCTGGTGAATGCCATGACAGCCAGCAAACCCTGGGGAACCGCCAAGCGAGCGAGCATTGAGCCCGGGCTAGTCGAGGAGGAAGAGGGACTTTGTAATGCCCACAACGTAGATCGGCATAGAATGGCCAACATGGGCGCCGCCAACAGGAAAAGAGGTATATTGGAGACGGTCCAATATCGCAGGAATCCCACATTCCTATTGCAGTCAGTAAGAGTGAGGACGGTGGTATTCGGACACGAATTACTGCTTACCAGTAATGATTTTGGACCCAGCCGTAGATGCTAGGCAAAGTCCACTCACACCATGGCCGAAGATCGCCCTCGGACATGCAGTACATGCGGTAGGCTAGGATTTGAGGAATGACTATCCCGGATCCTACAATACAGCCACCGACAATGACCACTGCAAGTCGAACAGTGGTGTGCAGTGTAGGTCCTTTAGTCAAGATCTTCCAGCCCAGAACTGCCGCATCATAAGCAAATAGGAACCCGCTGAGAACCCCATTACTGCGGACCATGGTGCCAACCGCGAATAGAACCGCGGATGTGAGGACCCGAATATCTCGCAGACGAGTTGCCCCATTGCGCTCGGCAATGAGAGACGATGAATAGAGGTAAAAGCCAGTTATGTTGAGAAAAGAGACTATCGACTCTCCATAGGGCGCGGAAAGAAAAGCGCCCGCTGGCGAGATGATGTGGAGAGCCGCAGATAGGAAACAAATGAGGTGTTGGGTGGCAGTCGCATGGCCAAAGATATTGGCCGACAGACGATAGAGCGCCAATACGGACAAATAATGGGCGACATGGGAGAGAACCACTCCCACCATGGCAGTGCTACCGGGTCCAGCATCTCCGCCAGAGAGACGAATACCTATTTCCAGTATTAGTGTGAGAAGATGCTAGAGTGCTAGATGGAATTGTGTACCTGCAACAAAAATAGACAGAAGCTTAGTGTAGCCCCAGCCAAAAGCCCATTCTTGCTCGTACAGGTATCCCTTTTCGGCAATATCTAGGAAGTAGATACTGTCCCATCTGGCAAATCTAAGGGGTCCGGAGAGAGACTCGGACTGGGCCGTTGGATTGGCAGCATATGAGATCAAGGAGGTGGAGGTATCATAACCTGATCCTGGACAGGCAACAACAACGATATACAACAGAACCTTCCATGCCCAAAATGCTAGCGTCAAACTTCGAATCGGGTTGTCCAATCGTAGCAGTGTGGCAAACAACGGCGGTGGCCTTGCGGTAGGTTGAACTGGAGCCATAAGAAGTTTCCAGTGACCCCAGCCACTAAGCGGGTGACTTAAATGAGACCTCGGGAGTTCTTCCAATGGGGGATGCCTAGCGGTCTAGATTTCGGGATGTTTACCTCACGATTCACCGGGTTGTGGTCGACCGATCTACCGAGGTAACCTTACGACCTTGAGGTGGACGCTGAAATATTCGGCTGCATAACTGTGCATAATTAGTCATCCGATCCACCGGGCGTCAAGGTTTGATGAAAAGAGACGTCCTTGCGAGAACCTGCTAGACACAGCGAGGTATGGACTTTATTCCCGTGGCGATTTGGGGACATCTCGCAAATTTCATCTTGCGGGCATTTTAGATATGTGAAACAAATGATCAACACAGAATCAATAAACGACGTAGCTACCCGTCGTGCTCCGTACATATCGTAAATAGCAATCTGCCAAGAATTTCCGTTATTCCCAAGGCTGAGCTACCAGCATAAGCGCTAGTTCATCGGACTTTGCGCCACAACAATTTGCCCGATTCCAAGGTTAAATTGAGAACGGGTCATCAACGGATTTCATACTCCGTAGATATGAAATCCCTCAAAGTCATCCCCAAGAAAATTCAACTTCTGAACGTGATAGTCCCACCATGCCTAGAAAAATATATGGAGCTCTCCCTAGTATGGGCTCATGAGGTAACCAGCCTCGGACCAATCTGCCGATTTTTCAATGAGATGGGGCTTGCCAAGAGGGGCAGACCATCCCGATCTTAGGCCAAAAAGAACCTGACTGGATACTAAGTAGGGATTGATGATCGCCACGGAATCCGGATGAGTCGGAGGCCGTATATGACCGAGCCCGCTGACAGGAGCTGAACTTCCGGTTTTGTGCATTAAACTACTCCGTACTGCGATTTCTGCTAGTACGGAGGAGTACTTTGATATAGACTAGTTATAATTTGTTTATTAAACATAAATTACACACTGGGGGGTCAATTCTGGGATTTTGTGCAACTAAATGGCGTTCCACTACGACATTTCTATTGACTAGTTCCTTTCGGTCTTTTTTTCTTTTTTTTTTTTTTTCTTACATAGCTTCATAAGGCTGACCGCCCCATTCAGACTGAGCATCTTTTGTCCTTTATTGCTCCTGCAGTAACATTCCTCCTCTTGAAATCTTTTAACTGCCCTTGCATATACTTTCTCTTGCACATTCTGGTCTCTACATCTGTTCCATTTTACCTCGTCATAAGCCCTTCCCCACACATAGCTCCGGGGCTGAACTTCCCACCCCCGCAGCTGACGCGTTTGAATACGGCCCGTTTATGACTAGTACATCGGATCGGGGTGAAATTCCATAGAGATCTGGTTCTCTCATTCCAATGTGGCTCTGCTAGGGCTTAGACATGCTGTTGAATCTTGGCCTCACAGCGGATGCCGCAGCTGCCCATGCCAATGAACCTAAGAAACCAGAAGCCAAGCCTTCCACGTGTACTACATACTCGCCTGCGTTCTTACTGTCTGCTCTACCATTGTTGAACTCCTTTTACAGCCCTCCTAGGCTGCCTGATGGTTCTACTGATTGTCCGGGCCTTGTATCCGCTATGACGATGGATTCGATTGAGTCAGCCTCGGACTCGGGCGAACCCTCCAGAGAATCAGCCATGGTCGCCAGGCCTCGAGTTGCCCGTTCAAACACAGGTCGGAAGTCTCGACCCAAAACATTGTATCAATTCGCCCACCCCGCCGCTCATGCCCGCCACAAGCGATTCAGATTCCGTCCTAAACTCCTCCTACAACTGCAACAGGTGTCGCAAACCCCTCGGCCCCTACCAGTCGTGGACATTCTGCCATCGACGTCTTACCTCCCGCTACTGGCCCGCAAATTCCCAGCCATCTATCGAACAAGAAACGGATTGGGTCCATATGACCTCATCGTGGTGTTGAGTGAACAATACGACCGGGCGGTGGACAGCATTCCTGAGAAACGTGTCAGCTCGGAGGATGAGGACGAAGATCATCGCGAAGTCGTCGCTACTGTCTGTCAAAAATATCAAGGAGATGCTCGCATGAATGGAAAGGCGGAGATATGCTTGAACTTCGGGCCGATCTGGGAGGCCGCGCCTCTCCCAAGCGGGTCTTACGAGTTTGTCGCTCAGACAGATAGCGGCGTGCAAGTCGTGCGGTGGGCTTTGCGTGGTGGGAGGAATCGCCGGATGACTATGCCCACAGCGACACAATCGCGCGAGGACGGCAAGCGCTTCACCTTCAGTGTCATCGATCCTACCACCCGCCGACATCCCGTGCTCGCGTCCATGACTCGAAATCAGTTAGAAGTCAATAATGAATATTCCACGGCTGTTCGGTCTGGCACCGGCCCCACGACTCCAAGCTCAGGAATGTCGGTCGTGAGTGATGCTTCGGACGAGACTCCCCTCGATGGCAGCTCAGTCATTCTTGACGATGGACTACGAACTTTGATTGTCGTCACCGGCATCTGGGTTGCCTTCCGTGAGGGGTGGTCAGACAATTTCCGCTACAGTGACCCGGTGTCTTCGCCCGCAAAGTCGAGTACGTCTCCGACATCCGCCAAGTATGCATCCCCGACGACCTCCAAGAATGAAACCGACTCTTTCCCGAATGTCGCTGAAGATGGCAAGCGCTGCTTGTCAGTTTCCAGTGTCCGCCGTTCCCAAATTATGGATGGAGGTAGTTTGTCCAGGCGCTCCAACTCCACCGGTGCTGCATTCATGGATCGAGCGAAACGACGATCCGCTTCTGGGCTGAGTACTCGTCTGAACCGACACAGCATGTTCACTACCTCCGGCGAGAATGGCCGCGATATCGTTGTCTCCCGTCCCCCTTCTCCTCGCCCACCGTCCGCTGAGGTGGAAGATTCTTCTCGAGCTGTTTATCCTAGAGCGAAGTCCCCCGAAAAAGCCCAGCCGGAAAGAGAAACCGTTCGATCAAAACCGCGGCCAGATCGAGATCCGCCTGCCTCAAATTCCCACCTCATGCACCATAATAGCACCCGCAAGAAGAAGTCGGATGCTCCGCTCCCTGGAGCTGTCGACTCGACCAAAAGCAAACTCAGCCGCCGCCTGAGTACATTCTTTGGCATTTTCCACCGAAAACACGATACTCATTGACCTTTCCATTTCCCATCACCATCTATACCCCTGCATCATATTTGTGGCTAGTCTACATGTAGACATCATCATAGCCCCTCTTTCGAGTCTCATCTCAATTGGCATCAGTTGGGCGTTCATACGTAGCAGTGTGGTTCGTCTGGTACGAATCCTTGCCGGTTTGTTTTTCTTCTAGTTCCCTCTCCCTCCCTCTCTCCCTCTCTCTCACACACACATTCCAACTAGCATCTAGCATCCTTTGCTTTTTGCGTATCCCTCTATCTTCTCTTTTTCTACCTACTTCTTAGCATATCTTCATATCATGAGGTCAAAATATGTATGCTTATCTCACTTGTGCACATTGCTACTCATCTATCCAATCACGCTACATATGAATATAATACCCATCACTCACTGTGAATTCCACAAGCCTTTCTATTTTAAGTATAGACTCAAAATATCTTGCTAATCTCATTAGGAACCCAAGTTAAGGATGTATTAGTTCTGTTTTCTGTCAATTCGTTACAGCCTATCCTCTTGCTACAATACATGAGACCGGCGTCCTCGGAGTAACGTCCATCTGCATCTCCCAGGTCATAAAGCGCTAGAGAAGATCGGGGAGGGATCATCCTGTGTTGGGCGCTAAGCCACGCCGTTATCTACTATCTCGATCGAATTAGCGTTCGCCAAGGTAATAATAATGCGATCTGCATGCGCTTGTCCAAATATGATGAATACCAGCTAGCCTTTGCCAAGGTGGTGGCTTATGAGGTGTATACTTCCCACTTCGTAAAGGGTGATTTGTCGGAAATGTGTGGCTGAGCCAGTGGATGTTTCGAGTGGGTGTTCGAGTGGATGCTTACCCCGTAGGGGTGCCGAAATGTGATCTCAGAAAGGGAGAATACTTCCGAAACAACCGAAGTACTACAGAATATCTTGATGCCTAGATCTGACATATACGGAGGATATTTCTCTTTGCATACTCCGTATATCGTAGATAAAAGAGATGTCTAATGCCTCGTAGAACTGCTATATGCCTAGGTACCATTCAACATCAAAAGCTCAGTGCTGTTATTGTAGAATATCAAGATGCCTCTAAATTGTATGGTATTCACAGTATTTACAGACCTTCTAAAACTCCGTATATATTCCCTTCACATCCCTACCGCTCAAGAGCAGAAACAGCCTTAGGAACATACGGCTCCTCCAAATACTTAATCTCCTCCGGAGACAGCCGGACCTTAATAGCAGCAACCGCCTCATCAATCCGCTCAACACTATGCAGACCAAGAATCGGATTCTCACCCGGGTGCGTCAAAGACCAAGCAATAGCAATCTGAGCCATGCTCACGCCCTTTTTCTTAGCAAGTTCCTCAACCCGATCAATGATAGCCTTATCCGCCTCCGACTCGCGACTGCGGACAACCATCTTCAGCGCGCCGTCGGTGTTCTCGCGCACCGTCGAGCGCGAGCCCCAAGGCCGCGCCAGCGCACCACGGGCAATCGGTGACCACGGGATAATGCCGACGCCGGAGTCTCGGCAGTAGGGGATCATCTCGCGCTCTTCCTCGCGGAAGAGGAGGTTGTGGAAGTTCTGCATGCTGATGAATTTGTGCCAGCCGTTGCGCTCAGCGATATTTTGCAGGGATTGGAATTCCCATGCTGCCATCTGTTATTGTTATGGGTTAGTGGAGATCAATTGGATCATAAAACGGAAGGAACGAAAGGGGAGAATAAGAACAGAAGGAAGGAAGGTAGGATGGACTTACCGAACTAGCACCGATGTACCGAACCTTCCCGCTCTCGACAACGTCGTTCAGCGCCTTCATGATCTCCTCGCGCGGAGTATCACGGTCCAATCGGTGGATCTGCAGCACATCGATGTACGTGCCTAGACGTTCCACGCTGGCGTCGACGGCGTCGAAGATATGCTTGCGCGATAAGCCGGTGCGGTTGACGAAGGGACCGTCGTTTTTGCCGGATGCGGCGATGGGTGGGAACTTGCCCTCGTCGTCAACGCCGAAGAAGCACTTGGTTAGAATTACCACGCGGTTGCGAGGGATGTTGTACTTCTTCAGGGCTTTGCCGACGATTTCCTCGGATTTGCCGTGAGAGTAGATGTCCGCCTACACGGTGAATATTAGTGGCTTATTCGGTGGTTTTCTCGAAGATATTCTGATGTTTTCAATTACCGTGTCCCAGGTGTTGATGCCCTGCTTGTAGGCATGTTCGATCAGGGGCAGAGAGTCTTCCTCATTAAGGACCCAGTCTTGCCATTGCTTGCTGCCATAGCCCATTGTCCCAAGGATGATCTTGGAGATCTTGAGACCTGAGTTTCCGAGGCTGTTTGTTTGATATCAGCATCTCATTCGACTGGAATGTGTGGGACAGGGGTCTGTACCGGACATATTCCATCTTATTATCAGCCATTGTGATATTGCGGGCGTATGTATATGAGTTCTAATACAGAGATTATCATTAGTTGGAATTGTTTATTTATTCTTGTTGGTTTGCATTGAATATCACATTGAATATGACGTCATATCATCAGGACAAGGGAACTCACCAATTGTTTCACAATGAATTATGATTAGTGGAACAAAGAAGAAACAGAACGAAACTCCTTTAGACTATTTAAATAAATCGGTCAAGAGCTCATTAATAATCTAAGCGCATCTGCCGGGGATAACAAGCGTAAAGGCGTTATAGCCGATGGAATTACTGATATATCCACCTTCATGCTGATTGGTCTAGATCATTGGATATAAGATCTATAAAATAGAGTCAATTCATGCATTTTATACGACTAGACCTAGCGTAACTTTATAATTATTTAGAAGTGTAGCACGAATTCAGGTTTTAATACTAAGCATACACTTAGATCGTTTAACCCGAAAACATATTGGATTTTTCACAAAAGCTAGCTAGCATAGTAACATTCCTCAACTCTTGACTGGTGGTTCACCAGGATGCGGCCATGCCCCCAGCAACTGTAAAATCTGGCTTGTAACTCGATACAACATACTGCTTTGCGGTGCAAGAACCTGAGAAGTTGGCTCCGCATTCCTTTCCGGCTTTTGAAACTCAGTGGGTGGATGAACCCAAGGGAAATGATCGGGCACAAATCCATCAACAGTCACACCATTGCCGAAACTCGCATATTTCTCATCGGGGTTCTCGTACACTAGATCGAAGTCTTCCCAGCGGATAATTTCGGTTGCCGCATAGTAGTGGAGGACAGTGCCGGGCCAGGGAACAACCACCTTTCCATTATCGTTCTTGTCTGTATCACAAGATGAGTAAATCTACAAATCTAGGAACAAGGGATAGAGATATTTACTTACACCATGATTTGCACGGTCCTGACCAGACCATGTGAGGCATTCTCGACTGAACCCATTGGTTGAATGCACGCTGAGCTCCCTGGGTCACAGACACGGATCGCAGTCTGTCTGTCTGGAGTCGGGATATGATCCGAATCATGTAGTCGCTTGCTCTCTCGATACCGGGGATGGCGGATCCATTCACAGGGCAAATTGGGGGGTTGAAGACTGTCCGAGATATTTAAGCACAGTCATCAACAAAAAGCATTCAGATTCTTACCGAAGAAGTTAGGAAACTCCGCAACCATCGCAGCCATGTAACTCTCGCACGGTCCCTCACGATTCCAGTCTTCACTCAGCGATCGTCCATCACGGCCAGTGACTGGGAACCGTGGCTGATAGGGCTCGAATCCGGTGGCGTATACCAATATGTCGCACTTGTACTCTCCTCCCGATTCAGTGATAAGGCTATTCTCGGTCAGCTTATTGATTGAGTCACGCACGTACACGGCATTTGGCTTTTGTAACGCATCCAGGTAGTGACCACCGGGCGTGAAGCGACGGCAGCCGGCTTCGAATTCTGGCAGGAGTGCGTTTAAAAGATCGGGGCTTGTGATCTTGGACTCCATGAATGAATTTGCCAGTGATGTAAAGTTAGCTTGAGATCTGGTTCCTCTCCAGAGTCCCATGAAAGTTCCGGCAAGTCTCTGCTCTAATGCGATGCGAAAGTCATAGTAGCGCATAGGGCAAGCCTGGAGCGCTTGTTTCTGTTCGGTTGAGTCTAGATATGGATCAGCCCTTCTGTCGCTCGTCCTTTGCTTTCATACTCACATTCGCGCTGGACGATGCCATCTTCTGCTAATGCATGTGGAAGAATCCACGTTGGGCCTCGCGCAATGTTGATTATTTGCGAAACAACTTGAGCCCAGTTAGCGTGGTGTGTGTGTCTTCGGGGGGACTTTGCGACTCACCTGGCTGCAAAGCTGCCACGCATTGAACAGCGCTTGCACCATTCCCAATCACGATCACCCGCTTGTCTTTGACAGTCATATCAGCTGGCCAGTTTGCAGTGTGTACTTGAACTCCTTGAAAGATTTCCTGGCCCGCAATCTTGGGGAACTTGTAGTTGTTCAACCGCCCGACAGCATAGACAAAGACATCAGCAAATATGGTCGTTTCTTCACCGGAATCCACGTTGCAGAGAACAACTTTCCATTTCGAGGAGTCTTCGTTCCACCGCGCCAAGACACATTTGGTGTTGAAGGTCATAAAATGGCGGAGATTGTGCCTGTCGACCACATCCTCGAGGTATTGGTGAATCTCGGGAGCTGGAGGATAAAGCGACGACCATGATGGATTTGGCGCCCAATTGAACTGGTATGTGTGGGAAGGCACGTCGCATGTGCATCTATCACCGGCAATTAGTGAACTCATTCATCTGATTATAAAGCTCGTAGGAATATAATCGTACCCGGGATACCGATTCTCATACCATGTACCTCCGAGAGAAGGATTTCTGTCATAGATTTCGAGATCGACACCTGACAAGGATATACTCGTATCATGTGCGAATTGGATTCCCGAAATACTAAAACAATTTGTTAGAAGTAATTATCGCGAGTTCACTATGCCCTTACCCAGCACCGATAACCACAATCTTCAACGGACGTGCCACAAAGGCACTTGGAACGAGATCCATTGCAGGCAATTTGAAAGAAGGGGAAAAGAAAAAGGAGAAGAAGATCTCCGGGGCTGAGAAGGACTGCGAAGACAGATCATATGGTAACGTGCCTCGTCTCGTCTGCAGAACAACACGTGCATCCTGGAGAGCAGAACAACAGAGACGATGTAAATTTTTCTTTGTTTACTTGTCCGAGTTTACATAGTCTACTCGATATTCTCGGAATTTTCCCGACTCCAGTGAGACATGAGAAGACACAAGGAAGACAAAGAAAAGCTTCCTTTTATCTACAAGTAGCAGAGCCTCAACATTACGTTCAAAGGAAACATGATCTTGGTGATTCTAAGTTAAGACTCTTGGAGAGTACCGATTTTAGAAATTAGAAGCCTTGGAGGATGTTCAGATTAGGTCTCACGGATTGCTGAACTAGGAAGTAGGTCAAGTCAACTCCAGATCATGGATCATGGTCCTAGGTGGTGATCGATGTATCTACGGTGGCAATATTAGGCAAATAAAATATCCAATTAGTCTTGGATGTATGAAGGGCAGCAATATCACAGTATTTCAGCCGAGTACCCTATTGAAAATCAAGTATATGTGAGAGTCCTAGGCTAATCACCCAATATCGTATAAAAAAGTAAACAATGGGTTATTGAGAAAGGTGGCCGAGGCACTAAGAGGGAAACATCAAACGTAGATAATTGAGGTCATGTAGAGAATGAATTATTTCAATAAAAATGGATAGAAACAAGTTGTGGAATACTCATTAAATGATATTGGAACGGATTCATGCCCAGTAAGAAAATCTGCCGAGTGATGCCATCGCGCCAACCCATATAATTTCTTTACCGCCTTGGTCTTACCTATTCTCAAACCGGCCTAGCCTTGTGCCTGAAAATTCAGTCATAGTACCTGCTAGTTAGTTACCGCTTTCGATACTGCCTTACAATTCTATACACCGCTTTGGTGTCAAACTAGTATGAGACGGTACTCATAATTTTATTAGTGGTTTACATACAAATTGTAGGTACCTACTGCCATACTACTATCCTAGCAAAATTAAGTCCTTTTTAGCAAATGAGTGAATCATTATCAATTGCTTCCCTCATGAACTTCATCGTCAACTATATCGTCAAACTTCATCAACTGCTTCATCAACTGCTTCAACTGCTTCATCAACTGCTTCATCGTCAAGCTTCATCAACTGTTTGAAGGCAGGTAGGTAGTCAGAGCCAACAATCCCTAATTATTTTTCGAGTTGGCGCAATGGCATCTAAACCCTGCCGTTCAGTTGGAGAATGTGGCACCTCGCAGCTTGAGGGCATCCTTTATTGGGCATGGCCATGAAGGTTAAAGAATTGGGTTCATTCTTATAGTTATTTAGAAGCGCTAATTTAGCGCGTTAATATAATCTGCCATAAAGTGAAACGGCGGGACCATATATCATCATGACACAATCACAGCTATACTAGGCTTAGTACCTTCCCGCGCTCCAAACATGAGACTCCAAGCTCTCAGCCTGAATCTCCAAGCTGCAAACCCGAATCTCCAAATTCCAAACCTGAATCTCCGAACTCCAAGCCTGAATCTCCAAACCGCAACTTCAAATCCGCAGACACAAACTTGATTCTAGCCATCATTATGGATTTCTTGAATGAATCAATGGACTCCCTCCAGACCGAGCCTGAAACTATACGTATTCTAAAGAAAAGAAAGCGCGAACTCACAACCAATTTGAGTATAGCCCGGAAACCATGGAGGGCACATGGGTCATTTGACTTAAAGCTCTGGAGTCAAGCTGTAAAGATTGAAAGAATCAATTTGGAAAGGTCAGAAGTGGATCGTAAGATTTCACTTGGTAGTTTCGGGGGCTTAGAAGAAGAATGGAAGAAGACAGACGAGGCCAAAATGATATTAGAACGGATTCAAGCCCAGGCGCAGACTCGGAAAATCTGCGAGAATAGGGTTAGCCAGTTGGAGAATGTGCTACCTCGTCGGAGCTTAAGGGCATCCTTTATGAAACTCTTCACTACCTCTACCATGGGTATTGCCATCAAAGGCACAGGCAATGGGAATTGCGACACCAGCCAACAAGCCAACTTTCGGACAGGCATGATCAAGGCTTATGACGCCCGCCACTCTACGCAGCCATGGATTTGGTGCCCCATTCTGGGTGATTTTGACGAAGAAGAAAACATACAAGCATCCCACCTGTTCCCATATATGAATGGGCAGGATACGATGGATGCTATCTTCGGTAAGACGCGACCGGAGGAGCTTTCCTCGCCTCGAAATGGCCTTCTTCTGTCTAGAAGGCTTGAAAGATACTTCGATGCTGGCAAATTTGCTATAGTACCGGATATTCCTGAAGCTCAGAAGCATGTCCTAGCATCCGTGAAGGGTTGGCTCAACTGTGAGCCTCGGGAGTACCGAGTCAAGCTTATTGACCCGGACTGGGAGAGGAGGGATGAGAAGGTCTCCCGACATCACCCTATCACATTCGGAGAGCTGGACGGCCGCCAGCTCAAGTTCCGTTCGAGCTTTCGCCCTGCTGCTCGATATTTGTACTTCCACTACTGCGTCCAGATGCTACGCATGTGCTGGCAGCATAGTAGCCAAGGGAAGTCCAGCCAGGCGGCTGCAATCCTCCAGGCAGAGGAGGGAAAGCTATTCTGGGGAACTGCGGGGAGATATCTCCCGCGCAACATGCTGTTGGCCCTCGTAGAAGAGATGGGCCACGAATACAAATTCGTGCTGGACGGGGCTACGAGGAGTCGGTCGGATGATGATGACCTTCTGCTGGGAGTTTGTGCTCGAAATATCAAGGCGCGGCCATCAATTTTGGCCCCTGGGGTTTTCCAACCTTGTTCAGAAGACGAGGTTTCCGGGATTGAAGGGGAGGAAAGTGATGACGAGTAGATTTGCTAAGTCCTGTATAATTATCACCGACAGCAGTGTTTAGACTGCGTTAATATGACTATGAGAAACGATATTCTATAACAGCCATTCCTTAGGAGCATATACATGTACCTATACTCTGTAACTTCTATGTATTCGGCTCTTTTACCGACCAAAAGAAATTTGCACCCCTAGCTAGCCTAAGGCGAACCTTATGATGGCACCCGATAAGGAGTTTCATCTTGAATTGTTACCGTCTTGTTTACGATCCATTGCCAAATCTGTAATGGACTCCCGTTGATCGAATCACCGAGATTGTTAGGCAATTCGTTAGCCTTGATCTGCCAGCAGACATCCTAGGAATATATTGCAATAAGATTTGGACAATACTACATTTCTTTGCCCTTTATCTTCGAACTATGTAAATAACCTGGAAATTATATAGTATCAAGCATCAGGCTTACCGTGAAAGAAGGCGTTCGTAATCATATAATAGATTATCAAACTATTGAAGAGGGATATACACGATGGGCAGTCTGGCCTAGCAGACAAGACGAGAGCGACACAACAACACCAACCATCTAGGACAGTCAGCTAGCAAACACAGGGATCACACAGACCGTAGTAGACATCCTTGCCTCCTAATGCAACAACATCCTATAAATTCCTTTTTCATTCTGTGAGTGGCGACTGGTCTAGCTTCTCCTCTGGAACTTTAGTTCACATGAAGGCCCATAGCCAAGTATTCAGGCGACCTTTGGTCGCTCTACCCCTTCGCAACCATCTCTCCTGCCACTTCTGCTATATACAATAAGTAGCGACCAAGTATGTGTTCTGGAAGTTGGAACCATCGAGATTTTTGCATGCTTATTTCGTTGTATACGTCTTCATGGACGATAAAAGTTATGAATATTGTGCAAGAGAGAAAGAGGTTGAATATAGAATAGGGCTGACCTAATAAGAGAGGTCAACTAGACAGAATAGAACATAAATTAGCATGAATAAGGTGGTCCGGACCATTCTCATGATTGTTTTAACGCGAAATGTCTTACCATCTCTCTAGCCATCTCTGCCATGGCTGAAGCCTTCAGAATTGTTTTCCCTTCTCTCTCTACCCTTGTGGCCAGTACCCAACATGCTGATCAATGAGTTCTTCCAGAGTATGTCAACCCATCACCATATATGTTAACAAAAAGATCTAACAGAACTAGACTTTCCTATGGAATGGGACCCAATCGAGTTCAAACCTCTTTCGGAGCGAGATGAGATCCTGAACGAGCCTCTCGATTGCATTCGAGCCATATGCCTGCCACCTCTCGATCCCAATTCCGCAAATCGCTGGACCTTTTTTCTGTCGACATCGGAAGTGAACATGACGGCGATCAGACTGAATTGTGGTCCAAGCTTCTCACAAGACAGCACGATTCTTGACGATGGCTCCAAAGCCATCATTTCGTTTGAAAGACGAGCGACCTTGGTTCCACCCGAGCGGGAATTGATCTTGACTCTGAGCGTGCACCCCGGATACACAGTGGGAGATATCTACGACATGATTGTTGTGAACAACCGGCACAAATTTGAGATTGATAATTTTGCTGAGGATAGTCGCATCTGGGTTCATGATCAGCTTCAACTTTTCGACATATACGGTGTGTTCTCTGACGAGGATGAGATCGAGCTGGCGATGGAGAGCGTCAATAGCAGATGGCCAGGGGACATTCCTGACCCAGTTGAGGAGGGGGTTTACTATGGGTAAAGTCAGATGGATCAAACGGAGGTGCTTCTTTCTTTCATACTGGTCCTGTTGACCTGGTCTTATTCTGCAGTGAGAATATGAGCATGTCTGTTCTTCCTTTTAATCTAGCAGTACAAACAAAGAGAGTCGATGCTACAATGTGAAAGGGGTTTTCTTACGCCATGAGTTTATCCTAGGATAGGAGACCTGCAGCTTGGAAGATTAGAAGAAAGTGCACTTCATATTATCGTAAGACGGGCTTGGTTTGTAAGTTGTACTGATCGCAATCTGATATGTGTCTGCAGAGAAGAGTGACAACAATAATCAATCAATCTTATAGATTGATTATTGGGATCACGTCACCTGACCCTGTTTATCAGGACTACCATATCTTCCTTTCTCTCCTTCTTTTTGTCTACACATATACACACACTCAGTTAGCATAATACAGTTCATTTTATTGTTTGCTCTTCTCCTCGATCCACATCAATGATGATCTAACTACTGCCATGAAGCTTTCTAAATAGCTTGATGCGGACAAAGACAAAGATCCCTCCTGCTCTGGAAACTGGGAGAAGCATCTCTGCAAAATGAGCAAGAGAGACCTGTAGGACGTCAAAGAGATTTCAAAAGAGAGTTCTACTAAACTTTATAGGAATGAGGAACGCCCAATGCTCACAATCATCATAGTTCCTCGCAGGAAATGCCTATCTCCTCGTTTGCGACGGTCATTGCATATAGTGACTGTACGTTGATTGCTGATTGGGGTGGCGAAGTATTGTGCCTCTAGTGTCAAATAATCATGTAGTCGTGTGCAAAAGTGTATACATCACCTCAATGTAGCTGTTATCTACATGATAGTCGGTTACGCGCGCCAATTGACGTCAGACTCCTATCAAGAAGCAGTGCGTGGAGCCAGTCTCCCAATTGCTTTCTCCCAATAAAATATTACTGATAGCATTATCACATACAAGAACAATTGGCTAGTTATATGCTAGTCTTTTTGGTCTTAAAAACAATTCTCGATGTCTTCTTAGTTTTCTAGACAGCGGAAAAAGGCGGGAAAAGGCGGGAAAAGCCTGAATTTTTGGAACCGACCTTTTCTATGTATAACCTTTGATAGTGGCAAGCTGGTGCATACTGTGGAGAGATTATTAGCCTCTTTATCAACGGATAGGCTTCGGGGCGCTTCGGGGCGCTTCGGGTACCGCTATAAGTAAGTCCTGACTACGTACCGCATTTACGCATTCACTGGTATCCTTTTCATAGCGCTTACAGTTCGAATTCCTGCCCAAAATTCCATACGGCATTTTCAGGGCTCATGGGGTTTTCCCGCAGCATTTTCACATCTATCCGGCCCGCAGGTTCGCTTAATGTAGGAAGATATAGTACAACATAGTGCCATCGCCTTGGCGTCGGCTATTGGCATCGGCTAGCACTAAAAGGGAAGCTGTGCGATACAAACTCCAGATTATCGCTTGCTTCCCACTTTTTTTCCTTTTTTGGCTGTGCCTTGCCGTTGGTGAGTATGTAATACAAACCGTTTCCCTCTAGTTAAGGCGCACGGGTGAAGTGGATGATCTTTGCCAGTATGGTCCCGGCCAAAAGCATCAAGTCATTATAAGTGGGCCTTGAGCTCGTAATTCGAGATGAGCAATATAACAGCGACTGATACTCTGCCGAACCCAAATTTAGAGAATGTCGAGACAACTTTAGGATTTTCTCTCCCGTCAGGTTTTTGCAGTCTCCTCGGTAGAGTGCAGCTGCAGCCTGCAGCCCGTTTGGGGACGATCTTCATCACGGCAGTCGATCACTAATGTCCGAGCATAACGATGTACTCCGTATTACAAATGATTCCCACGAGGCACAATGTTGCCGATATTGCCGTGTCTTGCATTAGGGCTGACTCCCGGAATTCCACATTCATTTAAACCATAGGTCGCTTACGGTCGGGCTTGGTCTAGACTCGGTTTCGGGGTGAAGGCTGAGAATTTCCACGGTTATTCTTATGCTTAAAATCCAAGTTTCACATATCTATCTGCCTAGGTAACATCTATATTTACTCTATGAAACACTTAATGTTGATCCACAGTAGGGTAATCCGTGTAATGGAAGGTATTGTCCTCAAATGGTCCATAGAACCGAGTTCGGTCATATGGAGCCATGGGGAGCTTTTCCTTCAGTCTGTACACCAGATCTGGGTTGCTGGTAAAGTATCGACCATACAACAACGCATCGTATTTACCCGATTCCACTACTCCCCAGGAGTTTTGATCATCCCATCCACCGGCGGAGAAGAACGGAGTGGAGCCAAAGATCTGGCGGAAACGATCCAGGGTCACGCCCAGCAGGCCCCAGCTTTTGAGGAACTTATCCTTCTCTTCGGCCCCGAAGATTTGTTCAAAACGCTGGGCGGGTTAGCAGTATGTCATTAGATAGAGACAAACAAAACATACCGGCTCAATAAAGCTGACATACGACAGCGACGGGAGGGTCTTCTTCAGACCCTCGCATAGGTGAGTCCAAGTCTCAACACGCTGTTCTCCGCGTGCTTGATTGAACATTCCAAACGGCGACAGTCTAATAGCCAGATTCTGCTCGCCAATGGTCTTGGCCACCTGCTCCATCAACTCAAACACAAACTGACAGCGCTTCTCCGGGGTACCGCCGTAAGCATCCCCGCGCTTGTTGATGTTCGAGCTCAAGAACTGCTCCGGAAGATAACCATTTCCGCCGTGGATCTCGACGCCATCGAAGCCAATATCCATAGCAGTCTTAGCGGCAAGGCAATAATCTTCGATAGTCTGTTTGATGTGTTCCACAGTCATTGCGATGGGCGGGTGATTGGCGTAGGGCACGGGCTGGGTGGAGCCGACGGGCGGATGCGAATAACATTCCGTCGGCGAATCCCACACAGAGGCCGACGGGCAGACTGCGGGCGACCCAGTCATCTGAGGGATCGTGGCCCGGCCGGCGTGCCACAGCTGGCAAAAGATAATGCCCCCCTTCGCATGAACGGCATCCACGACTCGCTTCCAGCCCGCGGCTTGTTCGGAGTTGAAAAGGCCGGGTACACCGGGCATCCCATTGCTCTGTGGAAACGGAGTTAAAAATAATTGGAATTAAAGTTTGGATAATGTCATTAAGCGTGCAATGCCGGAATCACATAATAATCCGGTTTATGCCATCAAATCGGGTCCGATGCTTACTTACCTCGAGCGATGGGGGGATCCCTTCCGAGATTATCAGACCACCTTTGGTAGCGCGCTGGGAATAATACTCCACAATTGCATCGCCGGGTATCCAAATACGATTGGGGTGGTCCGGGGTGTTGGTGGGATTCAATGGCTCTCCGCGGTTGCGGGTCAGAGGCGCATGGACGACACGATGTTCGAGGGTGATGTTTCCATTGGAGATCGTCAGTGGTTTGAAAAGATCCGAGTCTTTGCCGCTCAGGTAGTGGACGGTCATGTTTGTTCTTTTCTGTTCTATGTCGCTTTACTATGGAATGAATTATAGAGGACAGACGGAATTATAGAAAGAAAAGGAGAAAAACACACATGCGACTCCTTTTTCGGCCCAATGTCGATCTTTAACCCAAGACATCGTAGCTGTCACAGCTGCCAAAGTGCCTCGGCTAGCCAATATAGGGTTCAACTAAGGCCCATTTATTTGACTGGTAAAACAACGGTGTTGGTGGCGAACCGCTGTGCAAATTCTGCATCGGGGAAATACGAGGCACTAGAATCGATACTATTTGCCCGGGTGGCTGGCACCCATGCCGTCGGTACATGCTGGTGGAGTATAAACGGAGTCTAGCGCTATTTAGCGTTATTGATGGAAATCCTTCATGAACCATTCAGAAATCAACTGAGCCAAGTGGTGGGTCTAAGGCAGCCCCTTGAGCAATTATCACCGTCATGGATCCCGCGCCACTACGAAGTATACATAGCAGTGGTTCGATAGCTTTGAAGTCCCCGCTAAGGATCGTCTTTCTGTCAATCCTCATTTCCACGATGTGAAGTTCTTTATCTTGTGAATTCCCCGGTACTTTTATTGTAAGGGGAGGGGGACTTCAACTTCAAGCCCATCATGACTGTCGAGAACCCAACGGATGTCTTGCATACTGTCAATCTTGTTACACAATGTCTCTGCATTCCAATCGTGACGATCTTCGTAATCTTGCGATTTTATACTCGGTTTCGATTCAAGCATCCTCTAGGAGTTGAAGACCGTGAGTTTCTCCCTCTATACATATACTGCAATCCTACTGATCACTCCCTCAGTTGCCTGTACCATTGCTTGGGTAAGTTGAGCAAATAATCTAGTGCCTTATTGGCCAGGACTGACTGTACGCAGCTTCTGTTTATGGGATATTGTGCAATATCCATCGTCGGTAGGTGCTATACTTCCCACGTTTTCCCAGTTACATACTTACTCTACTAGTTGGCCAACATGGAGGAGGATACGAACTTAGTGATATTAGCCCTCACGAGCTAATCGCATTCAAAAAGTTCTGCTATATTGCGACTATTCTCTACTGTCCGATGGCGCTCTTCGTCAAAATCGCCCTCCTAGCAATTCTCACCCGCATCTTCGCCCCCTTCCGCAGCAAAGTCTGGTTTATCTATATCTTCCTCGCCTGCTTATGCTGCTACTACACCGTTGCTCTGATCGTCAAGATTCGCATCTGTGCTCCCATTCCCAGATACTGGCTCGGTGACGTGGTGAAGGGAAGCTGTCTAGACCAGACCGCTGCCCTGATCGCCGACTCCGTGATTAGTGTGGTCAGTGACCTCATCATTCTTATTCTCCCATTGCCATTGACATGGTCTTTGCAAATGTCGCGCAATCGAAAGCTGCGCGTGGTAGGCCTACTTGGCGCTGGTGGGCTGGCCACCGGGTTCAGTCTTTACCGATTGATCATGGTGTTGCAAGGTTCAAGCGATGAGGGCCTTATGTTCGTTCGTGTCATCTTATCCGGGTATGTCGTACCCCATCCCCTTTTGGTCAGTTTTTCTTGCTTTCTTTCTTTTCCTAACCTCTACTAGCAATGCCGAGGGAGGCGTTGGATTGATCTGCGCCTGTCTACCTGTCCTCAATGTCCTACTGTCCCACTACAAGAAGAACCACTCGTCCCAGAAATACTACAATGGCGCCTCTACCCATCCGTTGAGTGATAGGAAATCGGCCCCGGCTTCCCGTACTGCTACTGACTGGGATAAGGTGGCAAACTTTGGTGACCAGAGCCATCTGATTTCATTTGCTGGTCACCCGGAGGCTGGTGAGTCTGAGTCTATCAACGACCAGGAGGGCATCAGGAAGACCGTGGCTGTATCACAGACCGTGGAAACATCTTAACGGGAGGAGCTAGGAGTTGTCGGCCGATCTCTCAATATTATATACCCACTCATTAATTACCCTAATGAATTTTCTTTCTGTTTCTCTTTACCCTTTTCGACATGTCTATGTTGTTGTACGCATATATCCAGGTAATATGATCGTCTTTGTCCCATGCTAACCTTGGAAGAAAGACAAGATTGGGTCTTTGTTAGGGTGTATACCTTTGTATTCCCAATCAGAAATCGAACAATGGCCTCTCTCATTGTCCGAGGTCATCCTCCCCAATCATATTAATATAAATACTCCAACTCCCCCGTCTACTCGAGTCTATCACGCATACTCACCAAAACCATGGCACCAATATCCTCATCCTGGCAAGACAAGCTCTTGCACGAATGCCGTATCTTCATAGCTAACCTAGATGCCCAAGCCCATATTCTACGGTGCGATCCAGATAGTCGAGGAAAGGAACGCATCGGGGATGTCTCTCAGGCAGTAGTGGATCTGTCTATTCGCACAGATCGGATCATAGATATTGCATTCGGCATGATTGCTCGGGCCCCGGATAGCGAGATTATTCGTCGCAATACTGCCTTTTGGTGCCGTGAAGATGATGGCAATTACAAGTTCGAGAATGTGTTTCTTACCATGGAGCACGACTTGGTTCATATGACATTGGCGCTTAACAGAGACCCGTGTCAATGCAAATGTAATGACATTGCTAGGCGTCTCGAGGGAATCGCAAGGAAGGTCTCATTTAACCTGAATGTTTAGATAGTTATCTATGGACTCTTTTTGCTGCAGATGCTTTCTGTCCTAGAATCGTAGCTGGAGTGAGCTATGTCTCCGTCTCCGTATAGATATAGCCCTGGATCCATAAGGTGGATTACTCCAGCGACAACTTCAGCCTCATATATTGTTCCACCACCATCATTCTCTGTCATTTTCTAGCTACAACGGGGAAACATTGTAAAAAAAGCAGTGGCTAAAAATAACACAAAAATAAAGTGCAAAAAAAGAAATCTCTCCCTCGGGGAATCGAACCCCGGTCTCCCGCGCTTATCGGTTTTAATGACAAGCGGAAATCATCACCACTAGACCAAGGAAGAATGCGATGGCCGAGTTACTGCTCGGCCACTTGGCTGGCTGATGTGAGGACATGGCCATCTTGCCATTATAAGCGATGTCCACCAAAGTATACATCCACGCACATCCCGCCTATGCACAATATTCAAATGGTAATAGCTTTGTATACATGGAGCTCATTTTCTAATGTTAGATTAAGATTTGTTTAAATTTTTATTGAATGAGATAGTTGTATTACTAGAAAGTTCGAAATGCAAAAAGCGGACAAATTGTGGCGATATATATCTACGGCGATGGTAAAATTTCAATCGACAACATCATATCGAAAAGGATTTCTTCTTGTGAGTTCGTAGGGAAATCACACGGCGACATATACACCCCAACGAAAAGGAACAACATCACCTAAGAGATGGATTTGGGTCAAATAACCCTGAGTTATACCACAACCCATCCAATCCCGCATCAAACCCAAGGGACCACGATCCATCAATAAATGGCCATTGAAACATATCGGTTTCAAAATCATGGTGACTACCAATGGCAGCATTCTCCCTGGGAAGAAAGTTGGTTTCACCAAGAGCAGGCGACGATGAAGTGCCTCCACAAGTATGAGAACTGTGCGTATCACGGGATTCAGAGGTTCGCGCCCTGGTCGCATACGCGTCTCTACTTGGACGAGATCGGATGTCGCCATATTCATCCAGGGTACCTGCGAGGGCGAATCTCCTAGGGCTGTGCATTCCAGACTCGGAGTGGGATTGGTTACTCTTGACTATTTCGTAGAATCGGTTTGCCTCTTGTACTGTTCGCCACTGATTATTGTTAGCTGTGATATTCGGTTAGAGATTTCTTTTCAATACTCACCCAACTGCGACCAACCGGCCAGAGTTTACTTAGTCGCTCGAGATAGTCAAGATTTCGACTCTTTTCTTCTTCGGCCCGTTTGAGACCACCCGGATATCGCTGTGGGGCAATTGTTCCGTACATGTTGATATGAGCAGCGACAAAGACGCTGAAGCCGGAATATGGTGACATTATAGGTGCGCCGGAGGCGTCTAGTGCATTGAGGATACCTCCGATCTGCTGAGCGGCTTCGAATAGCTGTTTGATTGTATCGGGCTCGCCTTGGGTATCATCATTTGCGTCATGGAAAACGTCGGAATGGGGCTTTAGGTTGGATAAGAAGCGGTCCCGATGGAGAAAAAGGATGCTGGAGGAGATATAGTTAGTATCCCGGCCTGTAATGCGCAAACAGAAACGAATACCTCATGCAATGAACCAGATTGATGTATGCAAACAGCTCCCCGTACCCGAGTGCTACGTGCGATTGAACACTGGTAGCTGGGAACTGAACCGTTACATCCTGAAGAAACCTCCATTCATCCAATTCCTTCTTGAGGACTTGCCAAGTCAAGAGGAGCGGAGATGTAGCCGAGTCATCTGAAGACAAAGAAGCCAGTGCTCGTCGATGTTCATTAGCAAATCTTAGGATTCGTACGAATATGTCGAACCCTCGAGTGACAATTGTCAGGCCATGCTCAATCGTAAGATTCTTCGCTAGCAGACAGTCTTTATTCATATCAGCAGGCATCAGCCTGTTGGCTGGAGTATGATTAAATGTGAAGTCCCGATCACTGATTGGGAGAGGGACCGAGATCTGAGAGAATGATAGCGCAAAGTGCTGACGGGCCCCGGAGCTCAGCTCGCAGTCTTGGGCAAAGCAGCACCAGTAGGTTCGGACCAGTTGTTCGTATTGTGTTTGGGATGCATGAAACTCTTGAGGATTGTGTTCCATGCTATCATCTGCCATCTTCAGAAGGGATTGTATCATATATGTCGCCATGCCTGCTGCTCGTCAGCTAATGCTCTACGATCAGTTGACGATTCGATACGTACCGCTATACATCCAAGCTTGATAAGGTCGCCCAGTGCCCCACTCATAAAATGAGATCATCACGAGGGACTGGGCAAGATAAAGCGAGGGGGCTTCAAGCACGCGCTGGGCCAGGTTCTTGCGTGCATAGTCGGCATAGGTTTCTTCTTCCTCGAGTTCATCGCTGTTCATAAACCGCACGCATAAGGAAAGGACCGAGGCGACAAAGACGGAGTCCACCGAGTGAACGTTGGATGATATGTCAGAGATCAAAGACGGGTAATGAAGAAAATTGGTAATTGGGAACTTTTTTCTGTAGGTTTCCACTGCGCTGATGATGGTTGCTGGCGATAGCGCTGCTATGGGATCTTTGGATAGGTCTTGAGCCACGGTGACATTCCTAGGGGTGCTTCTTTCTGCATCTTCTATCATTGGAGATAGGGCAGACAATGCTTTTCGTTTTCTTGGGGTCCTGGATGAGACGATATTTCCCCGTGTCCTCTGTTTTGAGGCACGGGGATCTGTCAAATCGCATTCTTGGTTTTTGTTCTTCAAGCAACGTTGACAGGGCGGTTGCCCTTCATGAAGACATTTGACTTTTGCCTGACTACATGAAAGATTAGATGATATGATACGCATAAGATCGATAGAAGCTTACCGACAAGCATCACACGATATTGACAGCCTCATCGAGTGTACATACGGGGAAGAGCGGAGTGGGCTGTGGTGAAAAGAACTGGCTGTCAAGTACCATGTGACATATTAAGAAAGAATTAAGCCATCGGATCAATATAGGAGTCCAATTGTACCAATTCAATCATTTGTATCGATTAATCGAACAGTTGGACGTCCGAAGAAGCAAGAGTTACGCGGATATCTTAGTATCCGAATATGGTTAGCGCGATCAGCTGACTTGGATCTATGGGGTATAAATTTGCAGAATTTTAATGAGACAGTTGATGAAGCAGTTTATGACAAAAGTGACTTAATTCTATTAGGAATTTACATACAAATTGCAGGCATCTACTGTCTTGCTACTATTTACCACAAAAGCGGTATAAGGCGGTATGGCGCGGCAGGGGTGAAAGCGGTAGATAGCAGCACTTTGAGAATAACATCTACAACATGCTGCGCCATGCATTGACGAGGGCCAAGGCCATATCGCTACAGCCGGTACCGGGACGCACTCGTGGATTCTTCGAGAAAATTGCGGATGGTACTGCTCCCTGTTTTTCCCCCAACTGGAATCCTCATGGGCCTTCTTCCATCCTCTTGACTAAGAAAGCCCAAACCCATCAGCGCCCCGAGAAGCTAGCTGGAGTTTGTATTTTGCGCCCTGCGAGACTGCCAAGAATCACGGTACGCTGTCTTGACATCTTCGGGCCTAGTCAACACGATATTCGGGGCGAGACCAGACTAGATCCGGTAGATGGGTTCTATCCAGTCGAAACGGATTCATCTTGGAGGAACTTGGCTGTGCTACCGTCTCCATCTGGAAAAACGGATCCTAGTGTGTGCCGTATCACCAAACGCTTCGACCTTTGTCTGGGCAGGGTACATGTATAAACGGTAACCGGAGCCTCCGAGTATGAAATGGACGTTGAGGCATATCTTGTGTATTCCAAAATAGTTGACTGAAAACAGACAAAAAACAGTGCCAGATCTTCTAGAAGACTGTTCAGTGCGGTTCAATTGCCATGATAGTTTTTATTTGCCTTGTCTACTTGCAGCCGCTAAAATAGAGCGCGCTTAGTAGGTCCAAATCACACATTCCAGTGTTCCCGTGACGCTGCAAGGAGGAATGTCGACCCGTTCAGCCTAAACAGATCTGAGGAGAGGATAGAAGATGCCGTCCCTTGCATATGGCTTTATTCCCATTAGATGAGATTGACTCGACCAATCACGATGATCGACTGCAATACGTCGCCATTTACCTTTCCCTTTGCCCCTTGCCCCTGGAGTTGACCTGGCCTTCGGAACCCTGGAAACAGGCCCCTGGGTAATAGCTTAGCTAACAAAGACTGTGCATGCAAAGTTCCTAACCCCTTTTAGGCTCGATTCAGTTCATAATTATTGTAACTACCAGCGTGGGGATTGTTCTGTCGGAAAGAAAAGGAAAGACAGCAATAACCAACCTACATAGCAGATCATGGTCATCAACACCTCCAATGATGGTCATCCAGCAGACCCCGAAAAGCAGAGCAAGACATCAATTACAGTCGATAGGGAAGAATATGTTCCTGAAGCAGACCAATCCAGTGCCGCAATTTGCACTTCCAGCTGGATCGCAATATCACTGGTGGTGTTCTCTCTCGCACTGTCCATGTTTCTACTCGGCTTGGATAGTACAATTGTGTCGACGGCAATACCTGAAATCACCAACCGGTTTCATGCTCTAGACGATGTGGGTTGGTATGCAAGCGCTTACATGTTGACCTTTTGCGCAATCCAACTCATCTGGGGCAAGCTGTACTCATTCTGGTCCGCCAAGTCGGTTTATCTGGCTGCCTTGTTTATCTTTGAAGTGGGATCATTGCTTTGCGGCGTCGCTCCATCCTCAACCGCATTCATTGTCGGTCGCGCAATTGCCGGTGCTGGTAGTGGAGGTGTTAGCGCAGGATCTTTCGTGCTGGTTGCCCACCGAGTCCCTCTTAGACATCGCGCTTCCATGGTGGGGATTGTCAGCGCGGCATTTGGCGTTGGCTCCATCGCAGGTCCTCTCGTAGGCGGCGCCTTCACAACTAATACGCAATTGACATGGCGGTGGTGCTTCTATATCAACCTTCCGTTGGGGCTTTTCGTGGCCTTGGTGATATTCCTTTGTATTCGACCTATAAAGAACGCCCCCAATGCCGATATTGACCAACCGCAACTATTCTCTCAGTCGTCCATGAAAGAAAAGATTCGCCAGATGGACCTTCCAGGGGTATCATTACTTCTCCCTGGTGTTATATGCTTGCTTCTAGCTCTACAGTGGGGTGGGACAAAATACGCCTGGTCGAGCGGACGTATCATTACTCTCCTAGTTCTTGGACCAGTTCTCCTTCTCGCCTTCGCTTCTATCCAAGTGTTCACCAAAGTGCAGTCCCATGTCACAGTCCCCATGCGGGTGGTCCAAAATAGGAATATCTGGGGCTCATCAATGTACGGATCGTGTATCGTCGCTGCGTTTTTCACACTGATGTACTACGTAAGTATCGCCAATTCTTCATTGACCCGCGCCGCTAACGATGCGAACAATAGCTCCCCATCTGGTTCCAAGCAATCAAAGGTGCATCCCCGGTACGCTCGGGTATCATGACATTGCCCACAATTATTAGCTTCGTGATATTTTCCACCTCGGGCGGTGCGCTCACCTCTCTGGCGGGCTGTCACGCTCCCTTCGCCTGCCTTTCTGTTATCTTGATCGCCACAGGATCAGGTCTCCTAAGTACACTGGAGGTACATACAGGGGCAGGTAAATGGATAGGATACCAGATCCTCTTCGGTGCGGGGTCGGGATTAGGAATCCAAACTGCTCTGACAACTGCCCAGGCTCTACCCGTCGCGGATATTGCCATTGGCACAGCGATCATCATGTTCTGCCAGAACCTTATGGGTAGCATCATGGTTTCAGTTGCTCAGAATGTGTTCACCAATGAGTTGGTGAGGTATCTGGCGGAAGAGGTCGATGGAATAGATGCTCAGGCCGTCTTGAGCATGGGTGCAACAGAAATAAGTGACCATATACCCTCGGATCAATATGGCACGGTGCTGAAAGCATACAATAAGGCATTGACCCATACTTTCTACGTGGCAGTGGCCCTGTCTTCTGCAGCCGTGATGGGCGCTGTATGTCTGCGCTGGAAACCAGCCATGCGTAGCCTGGATGAAACATATGCGCCCCGGCACCGAACAGCATAGCTTGTAATGAATGGAAGCTCACGGTGGGACTATCGACTTCTTAGAAATCAGTGACACCTCCTAGCTTGTTGTGAGAACGTAGATCATTCGAGTCGAGAAGGCCTAGCGCATTCATGTCCTTGCTAGTCGGGAGGATAGAGCGGGATCTTAGGAACCTATATGATACAAGTTTATCGCAGATACTGTAGGTGAATAGGTTGAAATTGATGGTTTTATTGAGTCGGGTATTATGTTAATATGGGGTACCTCTATAGTGATAACGAAATATGTAACGAATCCTGTCGGCAGCATTTAATGGACGGCGGATTACTTCAACTGGAGGTTTCCACTGTCCACTGTTGCACCCACGCATTGAACTTATCAATTTCCAGCTCATCCGTGGCCCAGGAGGTCACAAGCCGAATCACGGAGTTCCCATCATCAAGCTGCTCCCAAACATAGAATCGGAATTTCTCATGCAGTCTTTCAACTAATTCCTGAGGAATGACAACAAACACCTGGTTTGTTTCTGTCTCCGCAGCCAACTTATAACCCAACTTCTTGAAGCTGTTTGAGATCTTCTGGGCCATCTCATTGGCATGCGTGGCTAGTGTGAAGAATAAGTCTGATCGGAAGAGCTCCATGAATTGAACTCCGAAAATACGGCCCTTGGCTAGCAAAGCGCCATGCTGTTTGAGGTGGAAATCGAAGCCATCAGCTAGCTCCTTCTTGAGGACGACTGCTTCTCCCATCAGGGCGCCAGCTTTGGTGCCACCAATCCAGAAGATATCGGTCATGTCGAAGATCTCCCGTAGAGTGAGATCGTTCTTCTTTGAGCAAATTGCTGAGCCGATTCGTGCTCCGTCCATGAAGAGCAGGATATTTGATTGCTTGCAAATCGCGGAGAGGCTGCCAAGCTCGCGTTTCGTGTAGACAGTGCCACTCTCTGAGGCATTGGAGATATAAAGTAGCCGGGGCTTGGCCATGTGAGGGTAGAATTGATTTTGCTGGAGCGCCTTTTGGAGATTGGTGGGCGTCATCTTGCCGTCGACTGCAGGCACGAGGATAAGTTTGTGGCCGGTCGCCTCGATCGCACCTGCCTCTTTGCAGGCGATGTGACCAGACTCCAGAGTAATAACAGCTTCATAAGGCCTTAGGCAGCTGGCGATTGAAATGAGGTTTGCGGAGGTTCCGCTGGGAACGAAGAAGACACCCGCCTCGTCCTCGGTGCAACCGATCTTGTTCCGGATCAATTGTCGTGCACAGATACTGTATTCATCGTTTCCAAATGTAACTTGCTGTGTGGAGTTTGTTCGCAAAAGAGCTTCCAGGATTTGTGGGTGGGCTCCTTCACTGTAATCATCCATAAGGCTGTATGGAGGGCAGGCCTCATCTTGGCATAAGCTTGTTGAGGGCATGGTGGGTATCAATTCCTTGCAAATTCGGTTGGACAATAAACAGATGGGTTCCAAGATTGAGCTCTAGGAAATGACTGACGAAAAAGAAAGAGTCGAACCAGAGTACGTACGGGGAGTACTTCATTATAGATAACGGGAAAGACACTTCGGGAATAACTTCGGGAATGCTGTGACTTTTATTCCCGAGATTTGTCAGTATCGGGAATAAGCGCCGTACGATGCGGGCATTTTCAGTTCTTATCAAGTAAATTTGTGGGCCGGAACAAGGGGTAGGACCACTTTCCTATGGCCTCTCCAATAGTGTAAACAGTCTCAATTGATATCCAAAGGTATGTTGTGTGATATCTTCCAAGGTGAGATAACACAGGGTCTCGACCGGTGTCTCGATTTCCTGACGGACACTCTGGAATAGACGATCAAAAGAGACATAAAATAGTCAGTTGAGATTTACCTCACAAGATGCCCCTCAAGTGATACCCCTCATGAGGGGTATTTCTTACTCTTCTCTTGTTCGGGTTTGTATCACCATGATAAGAGTTTCGGCGACCGATACAAGAGCTGCCTGCATCACGAGAAAAATGCATAAAGTCCGAGTACACCGTATCGTGGCCAGATGCAATCCTTCCCAACGCTCAAACTGTGCAGGGTCTCATGGTTGATGTCTTCAAGACCTAGATCTCATTGTAAACAGTGGGATCCACTCGAATATCAAAGAAGCATCTGTGGATCAGCCCTGGTGGAGGTTCCAATGCTGACATGAGGGGAGCGAGGATCCATTAACCAGTCAGGTAGCTGAGCTTCGATGCTTACATGGAGGTCAAACCTACGCGACCCGCCCTCGGCTACGAAGATTTACACCCCTCATGTATTCCGTGGGACTCGTCAAGTGGCAATGAGAGCCACGACTTCAGGAACGTCCACGAGAAAGCCCGGTTTGTTATCTGATGTGGACCTACATGGACCTCATACATATGGTAATGTCATGGTCCCTGTGGTAGGTGAAGCAGCATGTGCTACGGGCCCCCCTGCCTGCGCTGTCTCGTGGGCTACGGTGAGATGGTGGCCAGAGAGATGGGGAGAGGAGGAGAAGGAGAAGAAGAGAAGAGAAATGGGGGGAAGGGTCCTTTGATACCCTCGACAAACGGTGCCTTCCTTAAGGGCGACAGCTCCCTCGCATCTTCCCTGTCCATGTCAATGTCACATGCATTGCGCCTTCTTTGTTTGTTTACACGAGATCCTAGGTTTAGGAAGAAGCCCTTAAGTCAAACAATTATTCCATTTGGCTCTGTCGCCGATCGTACTTCAAACAAGGTCATTCCACATATCAGAACTGAATCACAGTTGAGGTTTAATATGAACAAATCGCGGGATATCGCAAATGCCGCGGGCGGGGGGGGGGGGGGGCGCGGGGGGGGGGGGGGGGGGGGGCGGC